CCGTTTCAGAGGGATGAGAGATGACAGTCAGCTTCTGTGAAGCACAGAACACGATCCATGTGGTTCGAAACAGGTATCAGAGGACAGCACTTGACCGATGCAGCGCAGCGTCCCATTTCGAAGTGATGCTCCAAATTCCGCATTCGACGCTTCCGACCATCCTCCAGCCATAGACGTCGTGGCAGTGCGAGAAAGAGCACAATGACAACTCACTTTGCCGCTGTTCATGCACTGCTGCAACACCTTTGCGCTGGCCGCGCAAGGTCCGGTATTGTTGGTGTCTTGCGAGCTGGCCCAGCAAGCCAACATGGCTGCGAATTCTGCGGCGCATGGAGCTTGAGCGACCTCTTTGCGAGGTCGCACTTTGAGATGGTGCAGCTTCATGCTTTTCCAGACAAGGCAGAGCTAGCTGTACGCTCCGACTGCGCTCTCGATCCGCGCGGTGGGCTGATCGATGTGGTGGCAGCGATTTGCGCCCAGGATGGGGGGGCAGCCAATAGATCGTGAAGGTGAATGTGATGTGCGTGGTCTGTCATCTCGAAAATCACGGAATCAAGAATCTTGAATCACGAATGATGCTACGCTCTCGTACGCACGCGAGTTGAGATCACGTGACCTCACGATGACCACGCGACGAGATTCGCCGCTGCTAAGCTCATCATGCGACGCCGCGCACCGATCCTTCGGGGGCTCGATGTTGCGCTCTCGGTCCTCTTGTCCGAGCTTCGAGCAAGACCCTAGATACCGCACCGTGCGTGGCGCGTAGCTGAGTGCGTACTGGTCGTGTGCCTATGTAAGCTGCCCGACTGCTCGAGCGTCGCCAAGGCTAGCAGCCCACATCGGCGGACCCTTACGGAATTTAGCGCGACAGAATCCTTCGCCGAAATTAGCAAAGCGCTATCTATCATTTTGAACTTTGTTTGCCGCTGCGGGGTCGAATTTTTAATTGCTGTGACTCTCACAGCTCGATCACGATCCGCTCTTGACTGACCACGAGCTAAACGGCAATTAGGCGCCGACGTCAGGGTGCTACAAATTCTATCGCCTCATGTCTTCGATCGGTTATTGATGAGAAGCTTCTTTGCGGCGTACGCGCCATCTTGCTAGGAAGAATCACGTCGAGGAACGCGTGCCCAGGCCTTCGCATGCAGCAAGGGAAGCAAGGAGGAATGGAATGGGCGCATGTTTGTCAGCTCTGCGCGCTGGCAATCTTGAATCAGAATGAGGCGCAAAGATCTGATGCGGCGCACATCACGCCATGTCTCCTCCGCAGCCACATGCGTAGAGGAGAGGCGGGCTACACTGGGCATGGGCACCTGCACAGAACGAACGCTGCAAGCCTCTTCGTGCAGGCTGTAGGGCAGGTAGGGCTTTTGCAGCAATTAAGCCACGGGAGCCAGACAGCCAGCCATCAGCAGCATGCAGCATGTGTGCCTCGATCCCAACTCCGATTTCGATTCAGAACCCCGCAACCGCCCATGCGCAGCAGGTCACAGCTACACATAGGCAAGCAAGCAAAAACGGAGCTAAGGATCTGCATGCACCCCGGCCGGCTTCTGCTGCTGCACGCCTTGCTTGCTGCGTCTCGCCATTTGTCGCTCTCTTGCTCTCTACCCCGGCACATTATTGATCGTGCTTTTGCGAACAAGACAAGGTCGATCGATCGTCAGGATCGAAACAGTCAGAAAGAAAGTCATCATGAGTCGACGAGACCTTCAGTATCAAAAACAGATAGCCCAAACACTACAACTCGAAAGCCTGGCCGCCGGACGCGCTCGGATCAAACAAGACCAACGTCGATCACGTGGGCAGTCGAGGAGCTGACCAAATCAAGGCAACTATCAAGAAGAATCTTGGATGAAGGACCCATCACGGACTCAGGCTCACATTCAGTCCACCGCAACGGCCCTGCTCCTGACGGGACTGCGCTCATGTACAGCTGCTGTTATGAT